AGGAAGGCCAAAGTGTCTATCAAATGTGTAGCAAAGCACATTCCTCTAAGGAAAAATTATTTTAAGGAAATACTCAAATAAGTGAGAAAAACGTGAGCCTATGATGTTCACGGCAGGTGGTTGATAGCAAACACAAGCGAACAAACCAACCTGGAAACAACTCAAATGCCCAATAAAGAAATAATGTATTTAAACAAATGACTGTGTTGCAGTGTATCCAAAAGCACAATGAACACAGTCATTACAAATGAAAATGCAGTCATATATGTATTGACATTGGAAAGATGTTCATGATCTATTGACTGAAAAATTATGCATAAAACAGGATGTTTAGCATGATCCCATTTATCAAAACATATACATGTATTTATATCATATTTATGCATAGAAAAAGTCTGGAAGATTACACATGAAAATGTGAGTAGTTGTTATCTGGGTGGTAGTATTAAGGCAATTTTTCAGATTTTGATTTTTCCTTTCATTTATCTATATCTTCTATTTTTCTACAATTTAAATGTTTTATTTGCACAATTTACCTGCTAGTGGTCAATGCCTCTAGACACAGAATGTCAAATGATGACAATGAGCTCAATCAATTGATTGTAATTCTCTTAAATGTATTTCTTGGATAGGGAACAGCAGGAAAAGTGTCACAGAACTCGACTGGAGAGTTCTGAGGAAGGATGATCAGAAGATCATGCATATGAGAACAAAGGGAGAAACATTAAAAGGATGCAAAAAAGCAAAAGGTCCTACCACAAATTAAATGATATCATAAGAAGTTATTGTAAAGGGTGAATCTAAGTGTTTACAGATCTCTAACCAATGCTCATGGAGGATTCAGTTCAAGAGGGAAGTGACAGCAGCCACCAACTCAGATTGAATCTGCCACTGGGTCAGGAGGAGGCAGGGGATTTCTGTACCCACGACCACCCCCCAAGCGTGGGTTCTGCCTTCTGATTTAAAGGAGGTGGAGTGAAAGCGAAGGTTGGGGTTACTGCAGGTGGTATCACAGAGGGCGACCTGCCATCGAGACCAGAGGCAACACCAAGGCAAGAGCTGCTAATACCAGAGTCTCCACCACGGTGACGGCCACTGAGACAAACATACCACCAAGACCAGAACCACCAAAGTATCCAAAAGGACTGAAACCAGAACCACTCCCCACTCCCGACCCCAGAACTGATAAAACCAGAATGCTTAAGATCCAAAACAAAACCAAAACAAAGCCAAAGACAACCACCAAGAACTACCCAAAATGACCACGTTTCAAACATCACACCAGAACCACTGAAATCAGGATCACTAAAACCAGAACTACCACCAAGACGAGCACTGGCCCTAAGACTAAAGCCCCATTTTAGTATCCAGATAGTCAGTGGGACCCTTCCCATTGCAGTTTAGGGGCCAAAGCTAACAACGAAGAGGAGCTCAGTGCCCCACATTCTAAAGAGAGCTACCAACATAGGGGGACCTCTCTCTTAGAGCTCCCTGCAAAGGGACATAAGTCCTGTTATCACCAGTCACCACCTCACTCCTTCCTCGATCTCTAAGAAGGAGGACTGAGATGCACTGAAGAAAGAAAAGAATCACTCATAGAGCTCACGGATGCCTGCAAGGGGAGACGGGCAATCCACTCCCCAGACAGGCACCTGCTTAGCCTGGGTCCACTGATCTGTTCCTGTGCAGCAGACCGAGGGGAGGGTGTGGCAGGGAGGCGGCAGGACAGAGAGGAGGCAGCATTGGCGCACCCCGTATCCCCACTGTCTGTACGACAAGGACGTGTGCGTTTCCTCCGGATCAAGTGGACAACACCAAAGGGAGTTGGGTTTGACTCTTCCTGCTAGTGCTTTACCCAATGGAGCTGCCTGCTGGGCAAGAAGATCCCAGCAGCACGAGGCAAGTCAGAGCTGGACCTCCTGCCTCGAGACAGGAAGGTCCCACAGCGCCCTCTGACGAACTCACACGTGCTACCCAGACGGCGGAAAGTCAGTGAGAGCCAGAGAGGAGAGAGGTGGCACCACCAGAGAGGGGCATCCAGTTCAGCCCAGAGCTGTTGGCCCTTCCCCTCCATCCCTCTCCTTATTTCCAACCCCCGAGAGCTGGACCCGGAATAACTAAAAGGAAGACGGATCCTCACCACTGGTCGAGGTGAGAAAAGAACGGACCGTGGTGTGGCCCACTCCAGGTACCTGGAGCCGTGTGGCAAGCCTAGACCAGACAGAAGGGAGATGAGACTGAAATCAAGTGGGGAAATGGAATGGCCTCTCAATAAATGAGACTGACTCTGCCCTAGGCCACGTGCAGGCACGGAAACGGAATGGATTTGGCAAAACGCGGTTGGAGCCCGTGACTGGCCCCACAGTCACAGCCCACTGAGTTGAGACTTCTCAGTGACGAAGGCTGGAAGGGAGCTGGAGCAGCAGCAGCTGCCTTCGCAGGGGAGGCCGGGGTCCCTCAGGAGCAGGCCCAGAGCAACAGGAAGCTGCCAGGGCCGGGGTGTGGCAGGAAGCGGGGAGGCCTCTCCAGCTGTCTGCGTGAGAGAACAGCCAGCTCCTCCAGAAATGGTCAAGAACGAGTTAGAAAAACACAAGGCTGCCGACCTCATGGCTTGCTCTGCAATCTATCACAATTACTTGTGGTCAGTGAACATAAAAGTTTCAGTTTTAACTGATTTAATAAAGAAAATCTAGTTTTTATTAAATTAGCTGGCACATCCCATGCTCCCTGTGGCCCAGCCTCACGTGGCTATTAATTCCCCACCAGCCCTCTGGTGGCAGCACTTGTAAGACAAGAGGAGGGACTAGAGAACGCGGCAAGGGCCCCCAACGCCCAAATCCCACGATACCTGGGAGGGGCAGCTTTGAATCAAACCCAGGTTGACCCTGGGGAGATAACCAAGTGTCCAACCCGTAAGCAGGGCCCCAAACCGACCTAGCCTTTACTAGAACATTCTCCCAGGATCAGTGATGGGACTGCCCTGGCCAATCCCACCCACATCTGCAGGAACCTCCCATGAAAAGATCAGGTCCCACCTCCTTCCAGCCCCTGCAGCATCTTCTGTCCTCAGCTGATGCCTCCTGAGTGCCCCCTACAGTTCCACAGTGGAATCACAGGTGCCTCCCCTGTTTCAAGGGGTTATGACAGCAGCAACAGCAGACGGCTAATATTTTTGGTACACTTGTTACAGGCCAGACAGTTTTCATTTTGCTTTGCTTTTTACTTTTCTAATCTTCGCAAGGGATTAACTCCTCCAAACAATTCAGTGAAGTAGATACCCCCTGTCTGCAAATGTGAAAACTGAGATGCAGAGATGTTTGTATGACAGGCCATGAAGTGGTGGAGCTGGGCCTCCCACAGCTGATGCTGTGGATAATGAAGGCCGCTGGCCTGAAATCTCCTTTTACAACCTTCTGTGCACACTGCCCCATACATGGAAACAACACTGCAGAGGCACAAAGATATGGAAAAATCCAAAAGAGGTCAGTGAGTGATTCAAGCTGGGCAAACACTGCCCTTGGCCAAAGGTCAACAGACTGCCTCAAAGCACATTTAAATTTTATAGGGTGGAAGAAGACAAAATGAAACCCTGCGCCTTGAAGCCTCAGCCCCACTTGATCAGGAACAAATCTCTGGATCTCATAGCCTGTTTCAGACCTGCTGATGGGATGGAAAAGCAAGTCTCCGCACTTTTGCCCCAATGCTACATTTCGCTGACCACAGAAACCTGAAAATCACCCTGAAAATATTAACATTTGTTCTAATAAAAGAGATCTACTAAACTGTGAATATGGGGTAGCATCAATAAAATGGATAATGGGGGAGAAGATGTACCTCACCAACCAGTTCTGCATGAGTCACAGAAACCATGGGGCACTGGAGCTGAAGAGGCCTTAGAAGCACTAAGTCCCAGAGAGTGAAATGAAAAGCAGAAGTCTGATTAATCTCTCCCAGGGTGTATCTCTTTATTTACGTGTGCGTGCTCATCTAATAGATGTGAAAGCCCTTGTTAAGGGCCAGGCCCTTTGCCAAAGCCCAAGAGTACAGAGGCCATCAAGCCATGTGATGAGAGGTTACATGTGCAGGGAAGGGTTGCCTTCTATTAATTCACACAAGATACCGTATGGACTAGCATGTTCTAATTCACACCAGGTACTGTATGGGCTAGCAGCAGCGCTCAGGACACAATACTGAAGGTGCTCTGCACCTTTAGATCTGGAGGTACAAACTGCTTGGCTGAATCCAGTCTACAAACATATTTGTTTGGTTTTCGATGCTTTAAAAACTGGGAGATATCACAGGAAGTCTGGATAACCAGCTATCTTGAAAAATAGGAAGATTCGGCAATCCTGGGTTTGCTTGTCACGTGGCAATGATCACCTGGAGCTGAGTAGAGGCTGATCTTAAAAGATGGAGCATGTACCAGCAACTCTGCCACTGTCTCCACCATTCCCTATTGTCTCTCAGGCAACACTAACTTCATTCCTTTGTTTGAGTCTGCCCTGTAGGTAAATGAGGATGCAATGCTTGAGCTGGGGCCCCCTTACTGGTGGGAAAGACAGGAATCTAAAGAAAGGACTGCAAAACAGTGTGATATGTGTCGATAGAGGTAAACACAGAATACTTATTTAGTGGCTGAGCTATGGCCAGAACCTCAGCTCTGTTCATTCATTGCATCCTAGCCTCTAGCAGCAAACTCTCTACCGGGCCCATGCAGACAGCCATTCTAGACTGAAAAGGCAGGATCCATCACAGCCCCACGTCATCACTGGTATATAGTATTCATAGTAGTATCAAGGCACAGGGGTATTAGGACTCAAGGAATTGGAATATTCTTACAGCTAAGTCAACCAGAAATACCATTTGCTGGAAGTAAAAGACAAAATTAGATTCTCTTTGGTATAAGATTAACATTAATCATACCACATTTTAAGTGATCTCAAATAATGTTCCTAAGTAAACAGAAGGATGCCTACCATCCCTCTCGCCCTCCCTGTTACCTGCAGAAGGGCAATGTGCATGAAGACCATCCATCTCAGCAGCCACCAGGGGCTCTTCCAGGAAGCCATGGGATCTCACTTTTAACCTACAAAAGAGGAAAACAGTTGGTTTCCAACCAGCTCTGGACCCAGCAGCAGCACCCATGACTTAGACCAATCAGAGGGAGGAACCCCGAACCCCACACAATGACTTGGAAAGGTTTGTGTTGGCCCAGGATGGAGCTACCTACCACAGGGTACAGACCATCTGGGGCTCTCTCTAGGAGGAGTCCACATCAAAGTCAGGCGGGCAGTTAGACCCGCTCCAGTGTGTAACCCACACCTCCAGCCCTCCAGAAGCTGAGGCATCTCTGCACCAGCCACTTCCCAACCCATCTGTCAGCAGCAGGGTGTGGCTATTGGCATCTGACTCAGAAAGCCAGCATGGAGCCAAGGGTTAGGGCACCTGCCAGCTTCTTGTACTTAAGGCAAAAATGAGTCCAAACCCAACTAAGCCAGCCCAGAGAAAGGAAGGGACCTGCCCAAGTTCATACAGCAGCACAGTGACTATTTTTGGACTGGACCGCAGGTCGTCTGATGGTTCAAGGCTTTCCCCACCAAATGACAACATTAATCCTCAGAGCCCCAGCCCTGCAGCCAGAGAGGCCTGAGAGCTGCCCTGGGGGGGTCGGAGGGCACAGCCTCTGAGCCAGCCTAGCGGAATCTCCTAAAAGTAGGTGAGGGCGAGCCAGCAGAGGCCCTCGGAGACCAGGAGGGCAGCGGGGCTGCTCTTCAGAGTTCTCCTGATGTTCTGCAGGGAAATGAGTATGAGTCGAGCCTGGAAAAGCCGAAAAGCCGAGGTCACCCTCGCCTCTCGCTTCGCCTCGCGGGCGCCTTGGCGGAGCCGGTGTCCGGGGGCGGGTCGGTGGCTTCTCTCCATCTGGAGAAAGCATTAAGGGCCTGGCCTAATGCGATCCGCAAATGTGCTGCTGTTTCCGACCTGAGGCGGCGACTCTGGGCTGAAGGCAGGCGGC